GGTAGAACAACCTGGATTGTCGCAGGCAGCTGCCCTGTGATCTGGGAATATTTCTGGCATCATGTCTCTCTTGTCTCCATACTGAAGGCTTACAGAGCTGACAGTGCTTTGCTGTGGTGGTATACTGAAGCTACAAAGATCAGTATAACTATCTAAGTTGGTGGAGTTTTTAATGGCTATTAGTTGCTCCCAGCAGGTTCAGCTGCTCAGTATCAACTAGGGATTATACTGAGTGCCAAAATATCTTGTCTGCCAGCAGCACTTCCAATATATTATCAGCACACAACTCCTAGGCAGGCAGAGTCCTGCAGCAGCAGCAGCTCCTGGATGTGCAAAGCCATGCCAGTCTCCTGGGCTTCCTAGCAAGTTTGCTGGTGTCAGTCCATGGAAGAAGCGATGCAGCAATAAGGAAGGGAAAAACAGATAATGACACAGGAATGGCAAAGGGGCCCATGAAAGCCCATGTTATGGGCTGGAGGGGGTAATGCCTTGCGTAAGGAGTGAGGAGAGGGAAGCTGTGCTGCAGAGTAGGGACTTCTACCCACACAGCTGCTGGAGGAAGAGCAAACGCTGGCTGTCTCCCCAGGGCAGGCAGTAACAGGCTGCTGCTTCTCACCTTCTCCACCTCCCTGCTCCAGCTGCTGCAGGACAGGGTGGTGCTAGAGCTGCCTGTCTTGGCAAAGGGAGACTCTCACATCAGGTTAGGCAAGTACTGAGCAAGTTCCTAGGATCATGATCCTTTCTTGGCTCTGGAGGCACTTTCCCATGCAAAAAACCCCTCCTCTGTCCTGCCAGTCCCAACACCTTCCAGCTCCTCACAGTTCTCTTACCATGTCATGTGGTTGAACACTAACAACTTCCCAGGCGGTATGATCGTTAGTTCCTCATATTAAAGGTATCTACTCACCGATTAATATCTTTGACCCCATTTGTTGTCTTTCTGAAGTGTCAGTTTATTGACCAACTCAATAAACTTCTATGATAAAATGGCTGACTTGGTAGATGAGAGGAGAGCAGTGGACGTTGTCTCCCATAAGATCCTCATAGAGAAGCCAGTGGAAGTATGGGCTGCATGAGGAAACAGTGGGGTGGACTGAAAACTGGCTGAAGATCTGGGCCCAGAGGGTGGTGATCAGTGGCATAAAGTCTAGGACTGAGGCCAGTAACTAGTGGTCAATACTGGATCTGATCCTGGTTAGCATCTTCATCAATAATCTGGATGATGAGGCAGAGTGTACCCTCAGCAAGTTTGCTGATGACACAAAACTGGGAGGAGTGGATGATACACAGGGGGGTCATGCTGCCATCTGAAGGGACCTGGACAGGCTGGATAAATGGGCTAGCAGGAACCTCATGAAGTTCAGCAAGAAGTGCAAAGTCCTGCACTTGGGAAGGAATAACCCCAGGCACCAGTAAATGCTGGGGACAGTCCAGCTGGAAAGCAGCTTGGCAGAAAAGGACCTGGGGTCCTGTTGGACAGCAAGTTGAACATGAATCAGCAACGTGCCCTTGCAGAAAATGAGGCTAACAGTATCCTGGGCTGCCTTAGGATGAGTGCTGCTAGCAGGTTGAGGGAGGTGATCCTTCCCCTCTACTCTGCACTGGTGAGTCCACACCTGGAGTGCTGTGTCCAGTTCTGGGCTTCCCAGTACAAGAGAGACAGAGACATATTGGAGAGAGTCCAGGGAAGGGTCACAAAGATGATTAATGGACAGAATCATCTCTTCTATCAGGAGATGCTGAGAGTGCCGGGGCTGTTCAGCCTGGAGAAGGCTCAGGGAGGACCTTGTCAATGTTTATAAATACCTGAAGGAAGTTGCAAAGAAAATGGAGCCAGAATCTTCTTCATGATGACCAGCGATGGGACCAAACACAATGTGCATGCACTGAAACACAAGAGGTTACCTCTGAACATCATGAAACACTTTCTTACTGTGAGGGTGACTGAGCACTGGCCCAGCTGTCCAGAGACGTTGTGGAGTCTTCATCCTTGGAGACAGTCAAAAGACATCTGGACATGATCCTGGGCTGCTGGCACAGGGAGTGCTGTTTGAGCAGAGGTGTTGGACCAGACAACCTCCAGAGGCCCTTTCCATCCTCAACCCTCTGTGATTCCCTGAAAGGGAAGAAAGCAGTATGCTTGAGAAGGTATGCAGGAAGCACCTCTTAATATGCCGATCCCAGGAAAACAGGAGCATGAAGAAGAACATTTCAAACTAGGGGATAACAGGTTGCCAAAGTGTCAGTGCCCTAGAAGTCAGGCCAGTGAGAGCAGTCTAGCCAGAGGTCACAAAGCAGTAGAGGAAAGCAGCAGACAGGAGCACACACAGACTGCTTCCAGCTTACCTGCCATCAAATCACAAATGCTGCACACAAATGGGAGCAGTGTAGCTTGGTCCACTCCAGCTCAAGGAATAGTTTCTTAGAGAAGCAGGCTCACCTACTCATAGGACCTTTTTCCACATTGTCCCAAGCTCCCAAAAGCCTAGAGAGACTTCTCACAGCTCTCTGCCCTCTCCGTGCCTAACAATGGCTGGAGTCTTGGAGGCAAGATGAAGTTACCTCTGCCCCAGCCAGGGGAACACAGGGCATTCCTAGCCTCTCCCTGGGCCTTGCCCAGAGGAGGCGATTTTCTGCAGGTTGCTGCTTACATCATCCAGCTAGACGTTGCCACAGTAACCGAACTTACAGATGAAGGATACAAGGTTCCTGGGGTAACGGAACGACCGCCACCTGCCTGGGTGTTGTCTGTATTGCATGGCAGGAAAGGACGATGCAGTTTTCTTAAGGTGAGAAAATAAATACCCTTCCCTACACCACACCAAGTTGGTCTTCCCATCTGCTCCACCGTCCCATGTGCTGCTGCATCTCCACTCTCCACAGCCCTGTGTTCCCTGGCAACTGTCCTGCTTCCCTGAACATGCAACACAAGAAGAAACACTGCTTTAGACAAGAAGAAATCAGCTTACCCAGGGTGGAGCCATCACTTTATTCAGTGGCAACAGCAGATGTGCTCTGCAGCCCCACCAGACCCACCCCAGAGGGAACCAAGGCCTGACCCCTGTGAGGATCACAGTCCCCTGAGTGTCAGATGTCTGAAGGGCTTGGTCCCTCAGGGACCCTTCCAGTCTAGTTTTCTAATAAGATCTGCTCACACTTACCTTCATGACATGCAGGAGAGATAGTAGCAATGCTGCACAAAACCAAAGCCAGGCAGACCTGATGGATTCCTATAGTGCTGCTCTCATCCCCATTCAAAGCAAGAAGTGGGTAGAAGCAGCAGTTATCCCTCTGCTTCCATTGCTGGGAAGAGGAAACATTTACAGGAAGAACCAAGGAAGGCCAGGTAAAGCCTATTTCCCTTCTGCTCCATAGCAAATCCCTCAGGAAGAGGTACACCAGATCAAAAGAAATTACATGGTCATAAAAGATAGGGATGAGCCATCACCTCTGCTGAACTGTTTTCAGCAGCAGCCACATGAAAATCTACTCTACAAGCTCACCATTTGGGATCCAAAGTACAAACTCCAGTGTCTATTTGGAGAGGTCCCAAACACAAGCTGTAGCACTCTGATTAGCTACTGTTTTCCCTTGTGTTTCCCAGTGTGCCAGCCTGGGAGACCTCCCATTTGCTGTCTGGGAGAGCTGGAAAGGACAAAGCGAACAAGGAAAGCATTCATGCTCAAAGCACCCTAGAAAAAACGGGTCATCTCCTGGGGATGCTCTTGCTGTGCACTGTCTCCTCTGTACATGAACATGTAACCAACTCAGTCGATGCAATTTGCAGTCATACTGAGCATTCCTAGTTGTGGCCTCAAGTCACAACAGCAGCGCTCTGAGTTTCAGCCTGATGCAAGAACAGAGAGCTCTGAAAAACAAATCAAGGTCTCCGTATCTCTAGTTAGACAGACGGAGTTAGCAGGCTCATTAGGTCTCAATCTTGCTCTGCTTGCTGATGCATGTGTTGGTCAGGCATTCATTAAGGGAGTATCAGTCCTCTGGTTGTCTAATTGAAGACAGAACAAACCAAAGATACAGACACATACAAAGGGGACTGATTAAGATGACAGGGTGTCTTCAGAATGCTCTCTGGACCTTATTTTATTTTGGAGGGCTGTTTCCAGGGTGGGGGGCAGCGGAAAAACACTCAGCACTTTAAATTATCCTAGGGCCAGTAAGTTGCATCTAGTTCTGCCACGAGCTGACACAGCACTAACTTACACTGAGATCTGTTATTGAGCTGACCAGCCAATCTCTCAAGCGGGAAATGCGATGCTTGATTACCATCAGCAACTGTTAAAGGGGTCTGACAAAAGGAAGGGTTTGCCTCCCATATGAGGAAGGGAGGCAAAGTACATTCAAGTGATTCTTAACTCTTCTTACCTTGTTTTCTCCCTCCTGGCTGGCACCACAGCCAAACTAATGGAGAGCCAAGCTACAGTCCAGTGAAAGTCACCTCCAGGGGTCACATCTTCACTCAAAGCTTAGTGTAGTCGAGATGGGTCAACAAAACCTTACCTGGGCAGTTTTCAGCCCTCTGCAAGCTACATGCAGGTGACAGAGATGGCACCTCACCCCTACCCTAGCACAGCTGGACACCGCTGAGCAGGACCACACAGATCACTGGGGCCCACCTGACTAGCAGCAGGCAGATTTCAGGCACAGCACAAGAAGTTACCAATTACCCAGCAAGGGATCAATCATGATGTGAAATGCAAAAGCAGCTAGCAAAGATCGTTCATGGCTTCAATTCGCCTGGCTGGACCCTGCACTCTATGCCATAACCCCATCAGCCACCCTTGACTACAGTTCTGCGACCCCAGTAGGAGATAGCAGTAAACAGCAGCTCAAAGATACTGTCCACCCTTCTCTTGTCTATCCAGCAGCACCCCCTTGAGTGAGGAAAGGTCTTGCCATGTCCTCATCTTCGAGGGCTCAAAGATACCAAGGGCAGTTTCATCTTGATGGGACCAGAAGGGAAAAAAGGAGACCATTTCCAGCCTACGCTCACACTTTATTATATACAGAGACATGGTAAGTGCAAGAACATCAACATGGGACATGGACAGTAAGGGAGGCCCAAAGGCACTGCCTCCTGTCCCCTTGGTGCAATCAGTCAGCATAGTTTATACAAATAATACAATATTTGAACAATAAATAAGTTCGATAAATAAGATCAAGAAATTAAAAAAAATGTAGAAAGACAAAGCAGCAAGGAATGACTTTGAGGGCTGTGACACATTCACAGCAGTGACAATACCACCACCATCTCACCTGCATACCAACACAGACCCCCTCCATCATCCCTGGAGCACAGACCCCCTCCATCATCCATTCTCTCACTGTACTATGGCAAAATCCAACCGAGGAGGGAAAACCAGGGAGAGTTCACTACTGTTGTGCTGTTGTGGTCTTAGAAGCCCTCTCTCCTTCACAAGCCCCTTTGGAAAATGTGCTTGAAAACAAGGTACAACCTCAGATGTGCTGTGTGCAGTCACAGCTTGTCTGTTTGGCACAAAAAAACCCCCCTCAAACCAGTCTCTTCCCTTTTTGTAGTCCTTCGGATAGACACAGTCCACAGATGGACACTCATGATTAACTGAGTTGGGGCAGTGGGTGGTGAGGGAAACATCTCTAAGGAACAGGGGAGAGAATAGATGAGGCAATACTCCCTTTCACTCGTGGGAAGCAGAGATGCTCTCATTCATTGCTCCAGAGGTCTGGCACACTCCTTCCACATGCCTTGGCATTGACAGAGACTGCGCGGGTGAAAACACCAGCCAGTCCCCTGGAAAGGAGGAGGTTACAAGGGCTGCAGGGATGCAGCTCAGAAGTTGAGTTACATGAGTGAAGGGACAGCAGTAAAAGGCCGCCACTGGTTATCTAAGAGAAAAGTAGTAAGACAGCCAGTCCCTAACCCCTGCAGGAGGAGAGGCCACACAGACAGATTTGATGCCACCCCATCACCCTCAAGGCCTCCAGCTCTCTCCCAGAGATGCTGGCAGCTGGTGTGAGGGAGAGAAGGACTCTGTCCATCATGGACAGCTCTCAGCAGAAAGGAGACAAATTGAATCCTGCCCCTCCTGCCAACCACCCCCCATTTTGCGCCCAGAGAAGGATGTTGGAATGTGAAGAAACCAGGAATTGAAGGAATAGGGCTGTGAGAGAGATATGGGAACAGATGGAGATTTGGGATGGGGAACCTGACCCCTCTGCCCTCACATGTACAGACTGCTACTCATCCAGCCCTGGTATCAAGTCTGCAATGCTGTCCACATAGTAATTGGGCACCAGATCCTTGGCAGCAGCGCTGTCGCTGGCCATGTAGGCCTGCGCCTCTTCCAGGCGGGAGACACCTGTCAGGGTGAGGATGGTGGAGAGGCCGCAGTTCTTGCCAAAGAGGATATCTGTCTCCAGACGGTCTCCCACCATGAGGGTGCGGGACGGGTCGACACCGAAACGCTCCACGATGCAATCAAACATGTACGTGTTCGGTTTCCCCACCACCAGCGCCTTGCGACCTGAAGCGGTTTCCACAGCAGCTGTGAGGCTGCCAGTCCCTGGAGGGGGAGAAGGAGGAGAAAAAGAAGTAGCTGCGGGGCTAATCGGTTGTGGCCAGCTCAGCGCCCCGGGTCCTGCTGGAGGGCGATGAGAAAGAGGGGTGCTGGCCACACGGCTTCGGGAGCCGACAAGGATGCGAGGGCAGCCCTGCCTGCTTCGACGCTCAGGGAACCGCCTCACCCGGACCCAGACTGCGATCCCCAACCGAGGGCAACCCCGCCACCAGCACCCGCGCCGGCCTCGCCCCCCCGCTCCCCCCCGAGGGCAGCAAGGGAGGGGAGCGCGGGCTCACCGGGGGTACGCTGGCCGTCGCTGAGCGGGTGCCAGGGGTCGGGGTCGGTGGCCACCAGGAGGCACTGCGGGTCGCGCAGGTAGCCGCAGGCCTGCGCCAGCTTGGCGAAGGTGAACTGGTCGTCGTAGCCCACCAGGACGGCCCGCACCGGCT